TAAATAGACCCGGCCCCTTACCAGTCCCTGAGGAATGCCACTCATCACCAGTCTGCATTTGGACACTGAGCCATTGACTGCAACTCTCTGAGTGTGGCCATCCGAAATATCAGTATTCAGGTGCTAATGCACGTTAATTTACGTTCTGTGAAGTCTACAAGAAACTTGTAATTGGTTTTCTTGAAAGGCAGCAACGTATATTTGGTATTTTATTTATTTATAAAAAGAATTTAAATTATATATAAAAACACTGCATAGATTTGGATTACATCTCTTTTCTAATCATTGCTGAATGCTTGCGTGCGTGCCTAAACTCTAGTGTTTTGGGGCTTGCTGACTGTCTTCCTCTCTATGTGGACAATGCCTATCTATTGTAAGCATTGCCAGAGTGCAGATAATACTTTTCTTGCCATCAGTGGATACCAAATTTCCTTGCTAAACCACTTTCACTGGAGTGGTTTTGTTATCTTTAACAAAACTGCCTTCTCTAATTAAAAAAACAGGATCTTTGAGAAAGGTCCCAAAGGCTGGAGTAGTTTCATTTCAGTATGTTACTGAAATTAATGCACAGGTCTAGCAAAAGAAATATGAGTGCCTGATTCACTGCTGTTGTGATGTGTATGAAATCTCAAATGCTTAGCTGCCTAGATGAACCCTAGTGCAAGATACTCCAAGATGCAAGCAGGATTTTGATGTCTGTTACGTAATATCCATGAGTATAACAAAACCACTGAAATTTGCTTGCACTGGGTTGACACATGTGAATTACAGTTGCTTGCTTTCTTCAGAGTTTTATCAGACTATAATCACTTGCCCAGCTTAATTGAAAAATCACTTACGTTTATAGCTGAATTTAAACATGTTTTGTATTTAAACGACAGCTTTTGATGTACAACCATTTTTTACAGAAAGCAGTTGGTTTTTATCTGTGTTTCTGTAAAGATATTTCAAAAACTCTCATCAAATTTCCAGCAGTAAGTAATATCCCATTCAGTGCAAGGTGAAATGTTTTACATCAAATCTCCTGCTGTGTAATGGCCAATCAAAGAGTATTTATAGTGGCTGAATGGATTTTTTGGCTCGGTATTCAAAATTAAACATTTTCAAACATTAACATTTAATGTTTTCTGCCACTCTTCAAGTTGATTTTATGTAACCCTAGATGCTCACAACGACTTGATACTCTGAAGCGACTCATTTTATGCTGAGGATCCTGCAGGCAGTAGTTTTATGTTTACTGTACTTGTGTAGATGGAATGAAATGTAGATTTGATAACAGATTCGTGTCTGTCTTCTGATAAACATTTTCTCGTGTTTGGCTGAATGTCCATCAGCATGATGCAGCAAGTCTGTATCTGAGAGAACACATTTACCAAGTGAAATTAATGAGCAATGATGAATTTGGGTAATTCACAGGAAATTGTTTCTCTTATTTCAGGTCTCGAGTAAGGAGAGCTCATGCCAACAACCATCTTTGGAGCCGGATGGTACCTACTTGGGTGTTGAGGGACCTCAAACTTTTTATAAGAACAGTAAAGCATCGAAGGCTGGAAGCCCAGCTTGTGTTGCGTTGTCTCAGCCTTGCCGGAATAATCACGATTACAGGACTGAAGTCCATTACAACCATCAGGAGTGTCTGAAGGAATATCCAGTAGACAATGGCTTGCATAGAAAGTGTAACAATACGATTTCTTCAGCCAAGAGGAGCCCTCACTGTGTAAAACCAGCTCAGGAGATTGACCAGAAAGCAAATGAATTTGAGAGCACATGCCCTCAGCAAGTGAGTCACAGTTGTGCCTGCAGGCATGTAGGGAGCTCAGGGAGCGTGCAAGAGAGCCACCATGTCAGCCAGGTACTTAGAAGACACTCTGGGCCAGCTCACAAAACCTGTGATTATTCTAGGCATTCTCAAGTGTCTGGGCTGAATGATGGCGTGGACTCAGGGCCTAAAAAAACAGAGCAGGCTAAAAGGTTGTATGAAGAAAGAAGGCAGAAGCTGCTTCTGCAGAAAATGGAGCTGGAAATTGAAAAAGAACGACTCCAACATCTGCTGGCTAAGCAAGAAGCAAAACTGCTCCTAAAACAACAGCAACTACACCAATCCTGTATGGATTATAACAGGTGATTTTGAGATTTATAATTTAAAAAAAAGTTATAAAATTTCTAATGAACATATGGGCAATAGTTAATTAAGTGGGAGAATGGAACTGATAAAATAAAATAGGCAAGACCCGTGGTACAAATTCTAACAGTGATTTAGAGGAGAGGAAACTTCTTAGTATATTGTCATATACTGGTGGGAAACAGCATGACAGCTGTGGAAAGCAGCAGAGGAAAACAGTATGTCATAGAAAGAAAGGCACAAGAAAAACAGTGCTAAAAGACTAGATAGGAAAAGACGAGCAGTAGAAGAAAACAAGAGATTGATCTTAGTGCAGGCACTTGAAGGAATACAGACATCTGGCAAGAGAGCAGTGTGAGCACAGATGACATACTTGCAGCATTCCCCCTTCTTTCCTTGGAGAGGTCAGTTTTGGAGTATTGCACCTTCATAAGTAGGGACTGGAAGAGGTATGTTTTACAGAAAAAATGGAGCTAATTTTTTATATATAGAAAAGAAATATCTTTTTTCTACATAAAATGGAAAAGGAAGGGAGCTCTGTGTAGCAAGGACATTTTCTTTCCAGTGTCATTTGTGGAAGGGAGAATGCCAAGACTGAGGCACAATGCATGCTTAAAACTAGAAGAAAGAAAAGGCAATAACAATAGAAACGTGGGATGTGGCTTGAAAGGCCTATGAGCATGTTGCAGAAGGTGAGATAACACCTTCCTGACAGTGTAAATGGGGACTCTGGGAAAGGGAGAAACTGCCTTATTGGTATCATGCTACTAGAGTGGAGGGGAACAGTGAAAGGGAGCAGATTAAAGCAAGCTGAATTAGGCGGTGTAACTCAGCTGAGTACTAGCATTTCGGCATTAGGAAGGTAAAGCGATGGGAAAAATCTATCAGTCTTTTAGAGGAAGCAGTAGGAGGGTTTCACAAGGTTGCTTATTTTGATACTGTTTTAATATGGCAACTGCAAACAGCATCCCATGAGAGTCTGCATTACATGACCCACTTCCTACATTCTTATATAACCACCATGGAGTAATATATCACTTTCTCTTCTTAATCTCAGCCCCCTGGTTACTTTGCAAACTCTAAAAGGGAATACTGTAATTTAGGTTGTCTTTTGTTTGTTGTCTTGGATTGTGGTTTACATTGAAAAGAACATGTTTATATGGCTTTAAAAATATTTGTCTAAAAGGCAATCACAGTTGTGTGTGTTGAAAATGACTGAGGTCACAAGCAAAGGATTATGACTTCAGGTGAGAATTAAGTAGGAACAGATGGGTTCTTAATCATCAATACCTTAATTGTATGCATGCGTCCCTCTAATGAAAAACAAGTAGAATATGAAGGGCATACAGACCGAGTTTTTTGATGTTTTTGTTTCTAATGGATATTTTCCAGCATTTGAGGCATCAGAAGCCCAGAAAAAAAATATGATGTGCTTGTTAATGCCATTATGCCTATTTTAGCCTTTTTTTTTCTCAGAAAAAAATCATGGCTTACAGAGCTCTAGTTATCTAAAAGAATTCTATGAAAGAAAACCATATATGATCAATCTAAGGACTATGTATTTTTGTGATCCTTTTTCAGAGGCAGGGATGAAAGCACATTTGCCACATTCTCTATAAGAAAGACAACTAGAATACATTGTGCTTACTCTTAAAAAATGTTCAGTCTCTTTAGAATTACATGTTGGATACTTACAGGTAAACATCTTAGGCATCACATTTCTGTTTCAGTTCTAGTATGTAATTCACTTTTGCACTTGATAACAGGGTAAAATTATATACTATGAACAATAAAAATTTGTTTAGCTAAGCTCAAATACCCTTTGCTTTATTGTCAGGAGGCTCTAACCTAGTTCATCTCTTAACATCATGACAGTTGAAAAGAAATAATACAACAAAAATCCATTTCCAAATAGTGTTCATTTTTGTCTGTCCTTTTGCATGAGTGGAGTGCTGGTTGAGGTCTGTTCTGAGCTGCTGAAAGTATTGTCACTGAATGACAAGTAAAAGTTCTGACCATTTGTAATTATTGGCTATTAACTTTTTTTTTTAGTGAAAGTATGAATTGATCCTTTTTTTGTCCGCGCTGCATCGTAGCTGCATTTTAATTTCTGACATTTCCCTATTTGGCCTCAAGAGATCATAGTACTTTCAGTTTGCAGTTTCTCTTTATGTGAAATAATCGCTCGGCTGTCAAAAATGGTGTGTGTGCAGGGAAGGGGGCAGTTCAGTGACTCCTCCTGATGCCAGCCACACCAGAGTAGACAAATTCAGGTAAATCCTGAAAAAAAAGGAACTTTATTCAAATAAAAAGGGAGAAGTACCTTTGTTGTTGACTTTTCTGCCTTCACTGGAGAGAAAGAAAAAGGTGGGGTAATTTGTTAAAAATGGAGCATCATCTGTGGGCCCATAGTTTCAGGAGACACAACCATTTCAGATTAATTCTACATTTTTTGCTGTTTACACACAATGCCCTTGAGCTCCAGTGCTGCTGGAGCTGTAATCTGACTGTGACCATCTTCTTAAGGGAGCTGGTCCTTGAAAATGAGTAAATTAAAATTGTCTAATCTTTTTCCCAATGGAAACCCTTAGAAACAACGGCACTGGGCATAAGTCAGCATTCCAATACAAAAGTATATTTGAAAGTGTGAAAACAGTCGTGAAAGCTTCTGTATTTAACGTGATTAAGTGCCCTGTTTTTAGACACACAACTCACCTTTTTGTGGCAAGTTTCTGCTGTGATGATTTGACCAGCTGCAAAACCAGCTAACTCTGCTTTTTCAGGTTTAGAGGCCATGTACCTGGTTCAGAAGATGTGCCCATTGATGAAGCACCTGGAGAACTTGCTCTGATGATGAACAGCAACAGCATGGGGCTAAGGTAATTTCTCTCTTCACTTTTAAGTACTTCACAGTGTTGGTATATCTTCTTGACAGTGTGCTGTGGCTGCCAAGTGTATTTGTTCCAGTGTGTTTGGTTCAGATTAAGAGCTTTTTTTCTGCAGGAAAGGCAAAATTCATTGGCTGTTGCTTTCTATGAGTCAACTCAATGGTTATGCTGACCTGTTATGACTCAAGGTTTAGGGACTGACTTCCTGTGGAAGTCTCATGTTTTGTGTGTCATCTCTTAGGGACACTAACCTAGCCCAGTGCAAAAAGGGATTTTCATAAAATCTTAGCTTTTGTTCTCTGTTCTAGGTACTGCTTGTTAATTTTTTCAGTTAAGATTGGAACATCTTTTTAGTCTTGATTTGGACCTGATGTAAAAAATACATTACTTTTAACTCCCAGATAGAAATTATCTTTTACAGTTGGTGATAGCTTCTTTTTTAGACAGTGCAGTGTTTCACTGCTGCTTCAGTGCGATCAGAGCAAACTACCACTCAAATATCTGGAAATAAAATTAAACCAATTTTTAGTTCTTTATCTCAATTTCACATGCTCTTTAAAACTTTAATCAATACATTATTGTGTTTTCTTTCTGTCCTACACACTCGCATTTCCTGTTACCACTGGAAAAAGATCCAGGCTTATTAGAAAAACAACAAGTAAAAAATGTGGATTTGACAACATTTTTCTCCCTTGCTCAAAAAGTGACATCTTTTTGTTCTATGCTTTAACTACAGATGTTCTTTTGACCAAAGTATCCTCTGTTTGGTAGACAAGAAGAGCAACTGTCCTTTGAATGGCTCCTTCTTTAGTGACAAGAGAAGACTTTGAAACAATAAGCTTTTCTCTCCACTATGAGAATACTGGAAGAACTCTTGCTTTATTTATAAACTAAGGGTCCAATATGTTCTTTTTTATTTTTTTTTTAACATCAAGTGATACTGATTTTATTTTTTGAGATCTCTCTTCACTGAAAAGGGATACATTTGTATTTTCTAGAACAACAGGAGTTGTTAGTTTCCTTGGAATACTTCACTGTTTAACCAGGTGTTTGACTGCTGTGAGTTACTGGCATGTCCTTGTATTTGGATGCTTTTTTGTTTTGTTTTCACACAGACTGAAATGATCAAAGTATAACCGCTGTAACAGAAGAGATAGAGTCATCATATGTTTAAAATGCAGTAGCATTAAGCGTCTTGCGGCAAAAATGTAACCTATGACATCTGTAGGGCCTCTTGGCAGCAGCTTACCAAAAACCTGCAAAAGTCTACATAGTATAGAAGGGAAAATGAGGAGAACCTATGCCATTAACAAAATGAGAGTTCCAGAGTTCGAAAGGTTTCCCACTGTCTCTTCATTCCTCTGGTTTAATTTACTCTAATTTTTCAAAATTAATATGCATTCATGCAGTCTCAAGTTGCCATGCCAGCTGATTCCAAAGTTTGGCAGCAAAACACTTGGAAGTTTGTCTTCCTATATGCTATCATCAGCTTTGCAAAGGTTACCAGAAGAATGGTCTCTAAATAATTTACTCTCATCTAAGGCTGAAAGAGGGTACAGAAGACAAGTCCATTTGTCTCTTATGCATTTGAATATGTAAGTGATGTTTCCTTGGTATTGAGAGAGAATGTGCAAGTTGTGTGGCTAGAGCTCAGAAAGGAGGAAGAGCTGTGAGGAATACATTGGGGTTTTTAACAGTTTGGGTTTTTTTTGTTATTGTTGTTATTTGTTTTTTAATTGACTCACTAAATGGTTCTTGTTACAGCAAATGCAATCAGAACCCTAATGGAAAACCAGCTCTCTCTGACTTTCAGGTCATACGTGAGAGCTCCTCTAGCAAATTTCACAGCATGAAACTTGATTTCAGTCTTCAAATAAGCAAAAGTTAGCTTAAAAATATCCTGGTATTTTAAAGGAAATTGTGAAAGTCCGTTAAAGTACTAAACTTGCTCAAGTGAGATATTGGAGTTTAGAAGTAAAATAAATAATATAATCAAGAACTGAAAAACATAGATTTTTTTTATAATTAACAGCTCATTTTAAGTTAATTATCTACAATTACGAAAATCTAATTGCAATTTATTCTCTCTTATATGTGGGAAGAATTGTAGGCAAGGGAATGTGCATCATAAATGCTATAGCATGGGTACAAATAATAGAGGAGCCTTTAATGAGAAAAAAAAAGCAAACAGGAGTGTGCAGCTGTGCCAGGCTATTGAAAGGTAATTGTAGTCAGAAATGAGATATGTATTTTAAAAGGCATCTTCTCATCTTCTGTAGGCATTCATTTTTTCCCACCTTAAAGAAGGAAAAAAAAAAGATTTCACGAGCAAATACAGTACAGAGTTTGATTTCTGATACCGATTTTGGTAATTGTCTGTATGTGAAAAAGGAAAACTTTTATCTCAGGTACTACTGCAAACCATAGCCAAATTGTATAATGGATGCCGGTTTCATTTTCTCTTCTAAATGTGCCATTATGATTTTTTCATTATCAAAGTCAGCAAGTGTTGTCCATCTCAGCCTCTTTGGATGGTCCCAGTATGAATTTGCAGTGTTGAATTTATCACTTCTGTGCAGGGTGTGTTGAGGAGCTGTTGGGAAGAAATGTGCCTGTCCCTTTGCCTGCATGCAGCTGGGCTGGCATGTGGGGCCTGAGGAGTTTTCAGATGCAGGATCTCCGGTTCTCTGAGGTGCAGCAGTCAGAGCAGGTTTTACTGAGGATGGTTTTCAGTAGCTTGGAGTGCTCCTAAGTGAGCCCACAGCCAATTTTCAGCTATAGAGGTAGTAACTTGTACAATTAATGGCAAGCTGCCTGGTTGTCTGTATAGTTTCTTTTCAAGTCTACCCTAGTGTGCAAGATACTTTAAAATATTCAAAATAAAAACATAACCTGATGCATTTATTTAGCATAAAGCAGCCTTTTACAATGTGCTTTCCATCTCCCAGATGCAGATGCTTAGCACATGCTCAAGTACCCACTCCATTCGTATTCAGTAGGATCAATACACCCGGCACCTGCTTTTGTGTGTGCTCCTGACGTCTGCATCTGGGAGAGGAATTTTAAAACAATTCACTCCTCTCTCCTTTATTTAATCTTAACTTTGGATCTGTACGTCATGGAAATAAGACCTATTTAATAGCGCCAACTAAAGAAGATAGGGTTTGCGACTTCGCAAGCACCCCTCCCCAGAGTTGTGCTGTGTGCCCAAGTCTTAACACACAATGTACCTTGCTTTTCTGATTCTTAGGCTTCCTGTGCAGCTCTGCCAGGACAGCTTTCTGCTGCCTGCTCTCTAGATGGCCGTGCATCTTTTCGTCAGATTTCACACAATGCTGTCACTTCACCTCTACAGTGACCTGTGCAAAATGTTATAAATAGGAATTGTTGGGTACAGCAGTTATCGGATGGGTTTACAATTATCTGCAGGCACTCTTTCAAAAATGTATGCTACCAGGTTAAAGGATTTTTCTCCTGGATTATTTAAGTTTTGCAGGTGGGATTTGCCACCTTTAATTTCATTGAAGCCTTTTTAGGTTTGTGTGCTTCATTCTGCATCACCGGTGTGTATTTTTTCCAGTTTGTATTTTTAGTTAATTGGAAATATGAAACATAGAATTCAGCAGTATTTTCCCCCGATTTGAATGCTTATTGCTATGGTGATAGTTCCAGGAGGCAATGCTGTCGGGGGTCTTCTAAAAGATTTTCGTGTTTATGTTCTAACTATTTTTATTATCTTGTGAGAGAAGTTGACAATTATCACTTGCTCCTTGTTTAATGCTTTGTTATGAACTTGATTTTTTTTTCATCTTGTTAGACATACAGGCATGTTTCTGTGATGATGTGCAAGCATACTTCTCTGTTTTGTCCAAATACTCAACACAATTAAATAGACGCGCAGAGGAACACAGACTTGCAGCTCCCCCTGCTGTCCCAGGCATATCCAGGTTTGGTCACACAATCTCCCTCTCCAACTAATTTAAAAAGAAGTATCACATGCAATCACTAGGCTCTGCCACCTCTGACCTGACCTGTGCTGGCTCCATTACTCCTGTTTATGAAGGAAACTGGTCTTTAAAACCTAGTGGCAATATACCACCCGTTTTCTTTCCTGTTTGGAGTTTTCTTGTCAGTTCTTCATGCCAGCATGTTACTCTTGTCCTGAGTCTCTAGAGGAGAAACCGTCACCAATGCCATAACTGGCTCGTTGTCTGAGACCTCTGATGCCCCAGTTCATCTATGAGTTGTCCTTGTTCTCTGGAGGTACATCTATATAGTACTTGGACAACTTTTAGGAATGTATTGAATACAGTTTATTGGATTTTTTTTTTTTTTCCATCTATTTGCTGTCTTGGTAGACTGGCACATTAAATCAGGCTGAAATCAACTGTGCTTGCAAATGGCCCATAAAATCTGTGTATCTGTAAGGCGCTTACCCACTTGTTAGTGCTCCTGTTAACACCCAAGTTACTTTCTTGTTCCAGATAATTTTACATTGAAGTTTGTCTCATTTTCAGATAGGATATTTGTGGAGTGAACACTTGTTTGGCTGGTAAAAAAAAAAATGCTTGCAGGTCTGCCAGTAGTGCAAATGCTGAATTAGGTGCAGATATGAGTTTTTCTTTCTCTCATGGTGTTGTCTGGCTATATATAGGCACAGCATCCCTTCAACAGATGGCTGCTGGAATCTGTTGTGGCATAACAGCAGAATACGGTCAGAGTTAGATACACATTTTTTCTTTGTTAGTGCTACGTGCAGACTCCAAAGGTAGTATGTTTTCTTGCGCAGGGTGGAGGCTTTTGTTCTGATGCAGTTACTAAAAGCTTATTGCTGAATGGAGGGGTATGACAATTATTTACATATATCTATGCAGATGTATTTATATTTTTTTTATGGTTTTTTAAGGTAGGCAGTGATCCTTATTGGACTGGGGAGCGAGGAATTAATTTCCGCTGACCTCGTTGCTTCACTAATCTCATTTTCAGGTTTA